AGTATTAAAATAAATAAACAGAAAAACAAAATTTTCAAATATTTTTGAAAAAGCTCCAGGGGTGAGAAGGGGGGGGGTCTAAAGAGCTGTGAATTGCCGACCCCTGGCCCAGTGGGTCAGGGCAGTTTACTTGTGCTCCAAAAAGGTTGCCAGAACCTGGTTGGATCCCTCAGACTGCACTGTGGGCCCCTGAGCAAGACCCTTAACCCCACTGCAGCAGCCCACTGCTCCCCAAGAGGATAGGTTAAATGCAGAGGTGAATTTCTCCAGTGTAAGATCACCAAAATTCAATTATTATTATTATTAACTTGGCATTAAATTCTATTTTAGTTAAAGTCCTGGTAGTTATTCACTATGAGAAGCAGTGTTATGGAAAGTTTTATTTAGAGTGATCTCTCCAGGCAAAAATAACCGGTAACAAGCCGTGAGGCGTTGGCGTTTTCAGGACGCGGCATCTGTTGGGTTCATAAATAGGTTTTTTCTTAAGAAGAACTGAAATACAGATTTATCGATGCAATTCCTGCAGGAAGGAGAGACAGTTGAACCCCAGACTCAAACATACTGTCTCCCACTGGACCTCCTCTGCAGAGCGTTTATTAACAGAACATGACGCATGGTTACAAACAGAGTATTGTTCTGACAGAACAGTTGATCAGTTCATGAAGACAGAATGCTCCATCAGAATGACAAGGAAGGATGGTCTCCTGACTGGATCATGAGACAGGAGTGGAGCATCCCCTCGCACAAATGTTTTATAAGCACACATTAATTTTCTAATCATCATTGAACAAACCTAACAGCATCCTGCATTAGATATCTGTTAAAAACAGATATAGACATCCAATAACAAACAGGGAAATAATAATAAAGAAAAAGCAATCATCATCTTAGTTAGATGATGTCATGGCGGTAAGTGATGACTGTCGGAGGCTCCAGGAGGAGTTCTGATTGGTTTACAACAGAAGAAAGTGTTTCATTAGTTGTTTTTAAATGAAGAAATGGGGGAATATAGTCTAACAGTTTAAAGCAATGTTTTAGCATCATCAGCCAGAAGACGTCAGGTAAGAATCACGCTGGCAGAGATGAATCCGGAAGGAGGAAGAAAGGTTTTCCTCATCGCCCCTGGAGCTTCTGCAGGTCGGAAACAGTTTCTATTTTTAGTCCTTCTGTCTCGTTCTGGGAGGACGCCAAAACACTCGGGGGCTCGTCCGTTTGGGTCTCGCTCTCTGAAATGTGAGCCGTGGTTTCCACATCCGTTTGTGAGAAACTAGAAAACTATAAAAGGCTTTATGGAAGGACAAGGAGTGCAGACTCCCTGTGGGCCCCATAAAACTTCTTTACATGTACGGTTAATACAAATATTCCTTATATGTGCAATTAAAAGTGATTAAAAATCATTTTAAGAAATATCCACAGATTTTGGGACTTTAACAAAACATGAAACCCTAGAGGAAATGAATAAATTTGATCCTGCCAGTCGGGGGGCAGTATCTCACTTTTATAAGATCTTTAACAATATATGTGTAAACACGATTAGGATTAAAAAGGCATGAGAAGATGAGTTGGGGCAACAGTTATCTGAAGATCTGTGGGAGGAGGGTTTGAAAAGTATTCAAGATTGTTCAGTCAATGTCAGACACAATCTCATACAGTTCAAAACTATACATTTCCTAGTGTGTCTCCAATTTGTAATCGCTGTCTGGTTGCTATTGGTAACCTGACGCACTCCTTCTGGTCATGTGTTCAGCTTCACTCATTCTGGAAGAAAATTTTTTATGTTTTTTCAGCAGCTTTCGGAAAAAGATGGGATCCAGATCTTCTTATTGCCATCATCGGGATCTCCAGTGCTTTGCAACCAGTCACTAAAAGTGAGAAAATGGCTGTCTTGTTTGGTACGGTGATTGCTAAAAGATTGATTTTGAGATTTTGGAAAAAGGACTCTGTGCCCACATTTGATTTGTGGTTGGGAGAACTAGCAAACACTCTGCATCTGGAAAGACTGAGACACTATAACGGAGATAAGGTTGATGTGTTTGAGAAAATATGGGACCCTGTACTAAAATTCCTTCAATGAAAAAGTGATTCCGACTGACTCGTCGCTGCTTAATACCCTGTATAACTTTCCTTTTTTTTCATGCTTGTGGACGAATGCTTTGGATCAATGTATGGTGTTTTCGTCATGTTGTCTTGACTGTGCAAGTGTTCTATGATGTGCTGTTCTGTGTGGGTAATCTTTTATGTTAATATTTGTATATTCATCTGGAAAATGTAATAAAAAAAAAAATATCCACGCCCATGAGAAGGCAAGTGGCTGGAAGTTGGAGGGGATTTTGCTGCCATTTGGCTGCCATTGACTGGGAAGGGCCATTTTGAATGGTTGCTGCTGTACATAATAATTAAATGTTTAAAATACTTGCGCCCCCCCCCCCCCCCCCCGCCCCCCCCCCCCCCCCCACTTCTGAAATCAAGATGTCCTCCATACTGTCTGGGTTTGCTTCCTGCAGCGCTGTTTGTGTTTTTCCTCCTCATTGTTTTTTCCCCAAACAGAGATGTATCTGCTGTTAATTAATACTGAGCAGAGACCCCCCCCACCAAATAAAGAAAAACAGCAGTAAACATCAGAGGCCTGGCGGCTGGCAAAGCGAGACAAGCAGATTTATTCATAATGCCTCCGTGGCGAGGAGCGCTGTCCTCGTTAGCAGCCTATCAAAGTGCCTCGCCGTCCATATCAGCCGATGAATCATCGGCCCGTCTGATCCGGAGCCCGGGCCTCCCATGGTACCATTTTGTGCCATTGGGTCTCTGGTTCTGCTTTTCTTCTCCATTTCAGCTTAATGCAGCCGAACGGCAAAAAGGCCTCAGAGGATTTCCTCTCCTCGCTAAGAAACAATCAGGTTGTTTTTTTCAGTTTTCAGAGGAAAACTACCTGGAAAAAAAACTCCAAATATGACGTTTTCTGCTCTAAGCATACGGCTCTGATTATCCCACACGCTTCTTTCATTAAATGAGTGTTTTTAGAGGACAAGTAATGCTTGAAAACACAGCAGAAACTGTAAATGATCTGTTTTCTGAGCAAATGCATCCATTTTTTTCCTTTTCTGCTCCATTTTATTTTATTTTTACGCTCAGCTGTCTTCATAGTTTATAAATGATGGAGGGTTTAAAACATCTTCTCCCATTTCCTGAACATGAACCTATATTCCAGATCAGAGTAAAATCCTGTTAGAGAGCAAGGGGAAAAAAAAAAAAAGCTGAGTCACTGGTTGTCATGGTAACTCCCACCTTAACTCATAAGCAGGGTTCAGAAGCAGAGACACTCCTTCAGAGGAAACACAGACTGCATTAAAAGAAGTCAGCGAATCAGCCTCATCTTCTCGTTCCTCCATCAAGAACATATGGATGAACAACAGACTCATTGAGCTTGATTTAAAATCTTAAGCTTGTTCTGGGGAAAAAAGTATTTAACTATTCACACCAGTTAAATAAACGGAGATTGATGGATTTCACTCAGTCAGCACTTTATTTTTATCTTTGCAAAGAGAGAACAGTTCCTCATACGGCCCTTATTGCACGGTAATCAGCCCTGTTCTGCATGAGCAGCGTTCGTTCCTCCTTACTTACAACAATGGAAAGAAGTCAGAGTCAAAACAAATTACACACACTTTGGTTAAACAGTAACATGTTATAAATATATCAAGTTAGAAAGAATCTGATTTGTTATGGAAAGATGGTACCGGTATGTCTTATCTACAAACACCCTCACAAAAGGGAATACTGTGGCCTTGCAGGTGAAACAGACGGAGTGAAAATTTTTACAGTGAGTAAACGGCATAAATTAATATATGAAATAAGAGAAATTAAATTTTCCAATTAGAGGAAAACTGAGTGAAAGAAGATTAAAAATGGCCCCATTTAAAGTCTACAAGTGGAGATAAAATCCAGGCCTTCATTTTATTCATCAGATTCAGCTTAATACTCAAATGGATTCAAAGTTTATTATATAAGAAAACCACTGGTTGGTTTAAAATAAAAATAAAAAGTTTTCTTTTTTTTTAAAGCTATTATTTCATCCAAATGAAAAATGGAGAACAGATAAGCAGATCATGGCTTGTCTACAGTGAAAAGAAGGACTGGGTTATTTACTTTGGCCTTTTTGGAAACACAGGAAGGAGCAATCAGCTAAGTGAGCTTAGTGCTTGGAAAAAATCTTTCATTCCTTTAGAGACAGCATGAAAAGTCAGCTGAGTACAAAACATAGAGAGGAAAACAAGAAGAAAAGGGACAAGAAGAGAGGGACACAACCTAGAACAGATAATGGATGGCTATTCTATTAACATTTCTCTATCTGGAGAATGGGGCTGTTTTATGTGTTGTCTTCTCAGTTCGGAGGGGCCCCCTGCCTGTCTTTGCCTAGGGCCCCAAATTTCCTAAATCCACCCCTGGCTGAGTTCTGTGTCATTATTGATCATTATGACTGTTTTATCTCATTTGCACCATGTTGAATGTTATTTGATAGGTAAAACTCAACTTTTACAAGGTAGCAGGTTTTATATTTTCCGCTAATAAAATCTTTTATTAGAGTTTTATTACAGTGTGTTTTTTTAAGTTAATTTTAAGTTATGTACGTGTTATTGCAAATTTGCTACATACCTAAATTTCTTTTATTTCTTATTTTTATGCAATAGTCAAAGTAGCAGTTTTTGGCAGCTGCTTGAAGGCAAAAAACATTAATATAAATATGTATATAAATTCAGGCATTAAGATGCTCAGGGCAGTTAATGATCTTAATGGATCGACTTAAAAAGTGTCTTTTCATTATGTCTGCTTTATAGTTTGGTTTAAGTTTGAGTTTTCTGGCCATTTTTAGAGTTTCCGAGATGAATGTTGACAGAAACCTCCAGCAGAGACAGGACCAGGCTCATTTTGAGCAGAAATGGCATCGCATTGAACCAGGAATCCTTTCAATGTGAAAAAGAAGCCAAAAGTTGATGGTTCCTCACCTTCTTCAGTCTCGTGCCAGACGATTCCCTCCAAGTTAACGCTGGTCCCAGGCTGACAGGGCCCCAATAAGGCCGGGTCACCGTCCGGCACTCCTGGAAAGCCTCCGTCCTGAGTGTTGGTCCCGACCGACCGCGTCCTAACTGTCAGCGGCTTAGGGTTCGAAGTTGGCAGGGCCGGAGAGGAAAACGAGGGGACTGAGGGCAGTGAGGACCCAGGGGCCCCGGGATGACATGGAGCCGGAGGGGCTGGCACTGTGAACATGGGGTCCATCTGGAAAAAGAAAGTAAACACAATAATTAGTTTTATTAAAAAAGCCTTTTAAATGATTACAAAATATTTTTATTTGGTCCAAAGGTAATAATTAAATTTCTTGCTGTAATGAGTGTCTGATTAATGATCTGATTAATGGAAGGCTGGCTTCTCAGTTGCTAGTGCCAGTCTATTAGTGTTGTAGTCAAGACCACACTAACTGAGACCAGTTAGCATGTTAGCGGCTGAGACCGGGACAAGGGAAAGAACTTTAGATGCCAAGACCGAGACAAGGCCATGACCTTTAGAAGCCAAAACCGAGACAAGGCCATGACCTTTAGAGGCCAAGACCGAGACAAGGCCGAGAACTTTAGAGTCCAAGACCCAGACAAGGCCAAGACCTCTACCCCTTGCACAAACTGGCTCCGGTGCGGTTACCGAGCCGACGGAGGCCGGAACTCACGCACACCCCCTCTCACACCGCCCTTTTGACTACGGTGCGGTGCGGCTCCGGCAACAGGTCCGGAGATTTAACTCGCGACAACAGAAGTTCACTTGAGTTCACGTAACTTCACGCGATAACACGGCCCAAATAAGGATATTTGCGAAAGCTTGTTGCGGATGGCTCCGGCACGCCGCAAGGATAGCTTTCTTGCTGAATTTTCTGCAGCGCCGGAGTGTCTCGGTAACCGCAGCCGGACAGCTCAGCAGCCGGTGAGAGAGGTTTACGTCTTTTTAATGACTTGGAATCACTGCGGCGCCACACCCACCGCACCGCAACGGTAAGACCGGAGTCGGTGTGAGCCGGGAGTTAGAGGCCAAAACTGAGACAAGGCAGAGAACTTTAGAGTCCAAGACCCAGACAAGGCTCAGTCATTTACAGGCCAAGACCGAGACAAGGCCAAGACCTTTAGAATCCAAGAACGATACAAGACCAAGACCTTTAGAATCCAAGAACGAGACAAGGCCAAGACCTTTAGAGTTCAAGAACGAGACAAGGCCAAGAACTTTATAGGCCAAGCCCGAGACAAGGCCAAGACCTTTAGAGTCCAAGGCCGAGACAAGACCAAGACCTTTAGAGTTCAAGAACGAGACAAGGCCAAGAACTTTACAGGCCAAGCCCGAGACAAGGCCAAGACCTTTAGAGTCCAAGGCTGAGACAAGACCAAGACCTTTAGAGTTCAAGAACGAGACAAGGCCAAGAACTTTACAGGCCAAGCCCGAGACAAGGCCAAGACCTTTAGAGTCCAAGGCCGAGACAAGACCAAGACCTTCAGAGTTCAAGGCCGAGACAAGACCAAGACCTTTAGAGTTTAAGAACGAGACAAGGTCAAGAACTTTACAGGCCAAGCCCGAGACAAGGCCAAGATCTTTAGAGTCCAAGGTCGACACATTTAGAGGCCAAGACCGAGAAATGGTCAAGACCGTTAGAGGCTGAGAGCAAGACCAATACCATATATGGTCTTGGTCTCAGCCTATAAAGGTATTGTCTCAGTCTTGGTACCCCTTGGTCTTGGTTGGTGTGGTCTTGACTCCAACACTACAGCCTGTCATTGATCAGATCAGAATGTATACAGCCTCCTGCTTGGAGGACAGAGACACAGCTTAGTGTTCAACTGTCTTTATTTTGGCAACAATATGGCTATAGGATGTAAAATGAAGATTATCTAAAGGATACCATAAAAAAGACACCTGTTTGTCGAAACATTTGCTTTCTTCTGTTTTCAATTTAATAGTTTCTCCACTGAACCAAGATTCAAAATACTTTTTCTCTCTAAACCATTGAGCATTTAGAAAAAACTCAAGTCTTAAAAAAGAAAGAACAGCTGTTAATATCTAAAGACTTTTTTTTATTAAAGGGAGAATAGAAAAACGAACAAGAAAATTAAGTGGTAAGGAGTAGAAAAACATTATTATACACTGACTTGAAAACTGTGGAAGCTGCAGCTAAAGTTGCTGCGTCTGGATCTTAGCTAATGATGCGCTAACTAACAAACACTGAGACGCTGCTGCGTTTGCAGCTCTAATCTCACACCTTTAACATGTAAACTGAATTAGGATTAATTCATTAAATAAATACACAATATAAATAAAATAAATACATGTATCCCATCATTTCTAAAATTCTTAAAGCTCACTTTCAGGATAAAGTCGGAAAATCTGCTCCATATCTAAATATATCTTTATGTCTACTGACGGTCTAGTTTAGATCTCTGGTTTATAAAACCCAGAACAACATTTTTAGCTTTTCAAACACACTGAACCATTATAACCAGCATTATCACCATGGCAACATGTAATGAAATCCTTGTCACCGGCGGCTTCCAGAGCTGCGCTCTTATCATTTCAACATATTATGTGAACAATTACAACCGCTGTGGGGAATAAGTCTGCTGAAGGAGCAGCCGACGGATTTCTTTCCCCATTATGACTCAATAAAGATTACAAGCTCGACAGATATCTCATTGCATTTGTTCTCGAGTGATTTAAAGAGCCATAAAGGAAGTCTTCGTCTCCAATCTGCCTGGCTTGAAGAAAACGGAGGCGGTTAGACAGGTTAGAGGAGCACCAAGCTCCTCTGTAGAACTCAGCTTTCTAGAAAAAGGACTTTAGGGTTTGTTGTGTCATTCTGAGGATCAATCAGTAGCTCACGCATCTCTTTCACATCTGACAAAGAAAGCAGATCAAGATACTTAGAAGTGCTCCCTGTGACTCCTTAAAAACAATGTTTTGTTTCCAGCAGCAGCTTAAGCAGCAGCACCCTGGCCTAAATATAAGCATGTAGAAATATAAAGGATGGACACCATCAACCACAAGGAGTTTCTGAATGACAATTTAACTCTTTAGACTGAAATAAATGCCATGATTTGTCATTAAAGGTACCTACAAGTCTGCTCTATGATTATGTTAATTTGAAAGTAAAAGGTATTTCCTTTTCCACATACAGATTAACCATTTCCTCAGTTAGATAAGTACTAGTTTTCATTTTCGTACTTGTTATCTTGAGGTTTAGGCTGGTGAAGATTCCCAGTCATTTGGGTCATTAGAAATAGTGTTGAGTTCAAGGCTTTATAGATGGACCAAAACAGAGACATAGACAGGTTTCAGTTACTGCAGGCTGACAAAAAAAAAAAAAAAAAAAGTGAACCACATTCCTAAGGGGTGGAGCTGCTGGTCAGGTTCAATTTGCATGTTTCTAAGCCAAAACACGCCTTTTTGGTTTGGTCCACTCTATAAAGCCTCAAACTCGACGCTATTCCTGACATTTTGAATTTAAAAAGCTTCCTGGATGGGAAGCGAAACGTCTTTGAAAAAATGTCCAGTGGATTGTTTTTAACTGTTTTGAAATATCTTCAGCATGATGCAGGACGGGGTTGAGGGAGCATCAGCCTCAGCAGAGAGACATTGCCCCTCCAGCGTGTCCTTGGTCGTCTTTTGGACCTCCTCTTGGTGGGATGTTCCTGGAAGACCTCCCGAGGTAGGCCTCCAGGTGTCATCTGGAAAAAAAGTCCAAGCCATCTCTACTGACTCTTCTTGATGTGTAGGAGAAGCAGCTCCATTCCAAGCCTCTCCTGAACGGCGGAGGTCCTCACCCTCTCTCTAAGCGAGTCCCCAGCCCCCCTGTGCAGGAAGCTCATATCAGCCACTTTCTCCAGGATCTCGCTCCTTTGGTCATGAACACAAAGTGTTAAAGCAAAATGCCATTAAAGATAAAAAGCAACATGCAATATAAAAACAGTGTATATAGAACAAAAAAGCATAAAAAAAAAAAGTTGTAATGTTCTGGAATATGTTTCCCTTAGATATAAAAATGATATAAAATGTTCCATAAAAGTAAATCAAGTTAAGAAACAAGAAGGAATGCATGGAGAACAGATTGACCATTACCTGTGGTGTCCCTCAGGGCACAGTTTCGGTCCTCAATCGTTTGTTGTTATATGTTAAAAACTTTAATTATTTACACTTTGTTGTTGTTTGTCATTTAGGGTTTCAGATCAAGTGGAGTTTTTTATTTTTCTACACCAGTTTTTTTTTTTTAGCCTTATTATTATTCCTAATTTCTTGACACTTCAACTTCAACTTTTAAATGTTTTTCTTTTCAAAGAAGTAAAAAAATTTAAGAACTTTCTAAAATTTTATCTAAATAAATAAAATAAATTTGGGCCCTTTTTCTTGCCCCTCTTTTTCCTTGAGAATTTGATTGGTGTGTATACTCGTTCATGTAGATATAGCATTAGCAACATTAGCAGCTAGCCAGGTTTTTTGTTTTTTTACATGGTTTCTTGGTCTACTGTATTTCGCAGTAAGTAACAAGTTACACAAGCAGCAACAACTGCTGACTGCCGACTTCAATATTGAAGAAGGACCAAAATCGAACTCTTGGGGGCTTTCTGGTGTAAAAAAAGAGCCAACATGATAAGAAATCAAGCTGCATTCCCACCAAAATACACATTCTAACAGGAAAACCCAGATTCCCGGGTGATGACTCCTTTAAAGGAAGCAATGTGAGATATATATAAAAAAAACAATATTAAATCCTGACACAAAGCAGTATTGGTACCCTCATCAAAATATATATTTTACAATGGCAGTACCATCAAAACCTTTGTTTCTAGATGTTGGAGCTTGGCCTGTTTTCCAGTGTAGTCCTGTTTCTCTGACTGTGACTAACTGGATGTGCTCTCTTCATCCTCTGACATGGGAGCTGGCTCGGAGCTCGTCTGCCTGGCTGTGTGTTTCCTGGACGGGGCCGCCTGTGGAGCTGGTTGACAGTTGCCTTTTGAATCTATGCTTCTTTTTCTATGTCTGCTTCTGTCTCCTTGAACCCCAGTGGGCCTCAGCAGATGGCCGCTCACACTGAGCCTGGTTCTGCTGGAGGTTTCTTCCTGTTCAAAGGGAGTTTTTCCTCTCCACTGTCGCTACAAGCATGCTTAGTGTGAGGGATTGCTGAAGAGTCAATGAGTCGATGCAATCAGCTGGTTTTCCTTAGAGAGAAAACTTTGAATCAATCTGACTGGATG